CACAGAGGCAGGATGCTGTTGGGGTCCCTGGACCCCCGGCAAGGACGGCAGCCACCCATAACCACCATCACCCTCAGCATCACTGCTGCTGCCCCCCGAAACACTGCATCCCTGCTGCAGAACCCCCCCCACACACACACTCCCCAGACCCTAAAAGCATCCCCTAGTGCGAGGAGATGAGAGACAAACGCCCCGGCTCCGGGGGCTTCAATGAAAACCAACTCCAGAGATAACAGTGGGAGAAATCCATCTGGATAACGGTAGGTGGCAAACCCCGCGCCGGAGCCGTAATCTGCAAAGACAACAGAATTCATGACAAAGCACAAAGGGAAGCGCCGGGCTCCGCCGTCCCCAGATCTTCATCCGTTAACGCGCTCCCGTTTTAGGCTGACATGTCATTTCAGGCGGGCCTTTTCTGCCTCCCCTTTCTTCTCCCCCTGCTCGGCGCGCGGCTCTGCCGAGGCGGCTGCTGAATTGGATCACCTCAGGGCGAGCACTTTATTATCTGCAGTCAAAGCGTCACCACAAATACCCGTCTACACACACACGTGTCACTTCCCATTTGTCTCCTCCACGAGGTATTAGCGCACCGCCGCACCGCGGCCACCGGCGCGGCAAAGCCCAGCGGCACCGGGCTGGAGGATGCCCTGGTGCTGCCCTGATGCTACCCCAACGCCACCCTTAAGAGACCAAGGGGTCACCCCAACTGCACCGCGATGCCACCCCAGTACTGCCCCAGTGCCACTTACAGGCCACCTAACACTGCCCCAGCGCAGCCCTGATGCCGCTGAGGCCACCCCAACACAACGCAATCCCATGCCAGCCCAACGTCATCCTGATATAGCCCCAATGCCACCCCACTGCTGCCCGGTGCTTTCCTAATGCCACCCTTCTGTCATCCAACACAGCCCCAGTACAGCCCTGATGCCACCCTGATGGCCCCTGGTGCCATTCTACCAAGAGGAAGAGGAGGGACCCCACTGCAGCTCCTCCCAGCCACTCCCCGGCCCCTCTGCTTGGTCACTGATGGTGAATCAGCATTTGAATGGCTTTAAGACATGGATTCTGCATCCCAAATGTGGGTGCTGGTGCCCATGGGACCCCATCCCTGCTCAGGGGAGCAGAATGGGCACCCCTATGTCAGCAGATGCCCCATCCCTGGGTCTGCAGTCCCACACAGCCCCATTGGTACCCACGAACCTGCTCCATGCCCAATGGACTGGTGCGGTCCTGGCACGTTTGGACACAACCCAAACCCCCATCATGTGCTGGGGCATTATGAGTGAATCCCACCCAAACACCAGGGCTCTGACCCGGTGGCCCTGGCACGGAGCAGCCCATCCTCACCCATCCACCCCACACACACACGCACGTGCCCCATTGAAAAGCAGCTTTGCAGCGTTTCCTGGCAAGGAAAGTGCAAGTCAACAGCACATTTTGGGCAGGGCAGTTAATTGAACTCCTTTTTACGGCACGCATATAAATACACAGAGCCATCATTAACCGATCCCTTCCAGAAACTGGAAATGAAAGAATTAATCTTACTTCACTCATGTGTAACCCCTCATGAAATTAAAATGATATTTTATGGGTGTGTACGAAAGCAGAGCCTCGCTGCAGCTACTCTAATGAAAATGCCCTTGGAATCGGCAGAATTGGGGAATGAGGAGCCATTAAAACCCGTTTATCCCATATGCAATTAAACAGTTTTATCACCGATGAGAGGCACCCCCACGGGTCAGTGTGAGAGCGTGGGTGACCCTGGAGCTGGGTCCCTGGCACCGCCTCTCGTTAGGGTTTTAATGCCCCAGCTCTTGGCTCCTACCATCCCTTAGGAGCCATTTCTCACACCGTTCCCACTGGGCTGAGGTCCCTTGGGACCAACAAGGGACAGGCCAAGGGGAATGGCTTGAACCTGCCAGAGGGGAGACTGAGATGAGCTCTCAGGCAGAAGCTCTTCCCTGTGAGGGTGCTGAGGCGCTGGCACAGGGTGCCCAGAGAAGCTGTGGCTGCCCCATCCCTGGCAGTGCTCAAGGCCAGGTTGGACACAGGGGCTTGGAGCAAGCTGCTCCAGTGGAAGGGGTCCCTGCCCGTGGCAGGGGTTGGAGCTGGAGGAGCTTTAAGGTCCCTTCAACCCACCCCAGTCAGTCTATGGTTCTATGCCCCCCAGCCCCAGCCTCACCAGAAGGATGCTCATGGTGAGATGTGACGTTAGCCTTCAGGAGCACCCACCCTGCACCCCACAGCCTCATGCCAGCAGCATGGTGCTGGCTGACGGAGGGCACGCAGACAGGAACATGTAATTAAATACAAGGCACCGCGACAGCACTGCAGAGAGCAGGAGCGGCAGAGGTGGGCCAAGCCGAGAGTGGTATTATTTGATTTATAATTTAAATAAAGCTCAGGATTCCTGTAATGTGCACAGAATAAAATCAAAAGGGACCAGGCTGCTGGAGTTAATTGGATGTGATATTTTCCTGAGGATGCTGCTTCTCCGCAGGCTCCTGCTCCTCGGCTGGATGCAGGCAGGGCTCCAGGCGCCCTCCTGCATCCTCAAGGATGCATCGCTGCCATGCCAGGATGCAGCTTTGGGATCAGCGGCAAGGGGAGCAGGCTGCTGCCATAAACTGGCACCGCAGCAAAGTCACCCACAGCAGTTACTAGGATGGATTTCACGGGATGCAGCGAGCCCACACCGGCACGTGGGGCACTGAGACAAGGTGGGGGGGGGACAGCAATTAGGAGGAGAGCCAAGGGGCAGAGCTGGGGGGCGAAGGCAGCGGGGCCGGCAGCTCCCAGCACGGGCGGAATTACTGAGCTCACCTTTTACATGAAATTAATACCAAAATTAATCAGCGGCGCGGGCGGGGTAATAGGATTTCACAGTGGTGCCGGGCCAGACGGCCAGCGCGCCCGGAGCCAGACTCATTTAATATCCACAGAAACAATGCCAGAGGACAGGAATAAGACCCATAAAGATAATTACTGAGATACTCAGGAGCAAATTAAGCAATCAGAGGCACTTCTAAATTGTGCCTCGTTTGAAGAGGATGCTCGGTGGCGAGGTGCGGGGGGCTCGGCCCCGGCTCCCGGCCCCTCTGCGCCGCGCTTCCCGCAGGTGCCATAAATAAAGGAGGGAAAATCTTCCCAGCCGGATGCGTGGCCCTGGATGTCAGCTGCAATTTAATCTGCAGGAGCGGGAGCGATGCGCTGGGGCTGCCCGCAACGAGCCGGAGCAGGCAGGCAGCTAAACTTTGATTAAGGTGACCTGGTTGGCAGCACCCAGCGGCAAGCGCGGCACAGGGGGGCCAGGCAGGGATCTTGGCTGCCACCGCGCACCATCTACCGCAGGGATACATCTGGAGCGGGACGAGCCTCAGGGTGAGCCCGGTCCTGCCCCAAGGGATGTGGTGTAATCAGCCAGAAGCCCCAGTGCTCCATCCCGCTTGGGGACTGACTTCGCAGCTCACCCTCCTCCCATCAGCATGGCTCAGAGACCTCAGAACCGCAGGGATGGGACCCTCCAAGAGCGGGCCCCCCTACCCCTGGGTGACTTGGTGACACCCTGTATGGACTCCCATTCCCCAAACCTTACTTTAGCATCATCTATGATAGGGTGGGAAACACTTGGGAGCACCAGCCTCCCCAGCAGCAGTGGGCTCCTGGGCTTCATCCCCATGAACCGAGATGGCCCTGGGCTCAGCCTGGGATGGGTGGATGTATCCTGACCTCAGCATCACACTGGACTTGACACAGAGATTCCCAGTGCCGAACACCTCTGGAAAACCCTGCCATGGGTCTCGGAGCGTGTGGGCATGGCTGAGCTAACAACCTGTGGCAACGCAGTGCACCAGGAGCCAGAGCCTGGTGCCAGCCCTGCGTTGCTCAGGCGCAATGGATGAGGCAACATCTGTTTCCTTTCCAGACACCAACAAAGGGACGACCTGAGCAGCACCGTGAGCTCCTGTGTGGCACAGGCACACGGGGTCCACGCATGCACCCAAATGCTTTGCGTCTGCGCTGAGACCCCCTGATTGCTGACACCCCTTTGGGTGCCTGGGGACAAACACCTTGGGAGGCACCGATCTCACCTATCCCTGTGACCACTGATGCACACACACGTGTGCTTCCCTGCCTGCAACACCTGGGCGCCCATCACCCTGCCTCTGGCCTGGCACCCTGCTCCCGGCCGCGATGCTGTGCCAAACCCTGGGGAGCTTCACCCCAAAAACTAACCCTCCGTGCTGCCAGACCCTATCAGAGTGATGCTGCGGGTCTCCAGCATCCCCTAAACCCCAGTCGGGGTACCCAGGTAGAGGGGAAAAACAGATCGCCATGAAAATAGAGATCATTAAACAAATGCCCAGGGGCTGTCACAGCCTAACAAGCAGAGCTTTAGCAGCTGATTTGTCTTCAGCCAGCAATGTTTAAAAATCCAACTGAGACCAGCAGAAAAATATCCACTCCCCTCTTTAAAACACACATTCATCACTTGAGAATCTTAATGCGCCTTTCCCAGCCGGGGAGGTCAAACACGCCTGCCTAAAGCAGGCTCATTAAATATACATTTAATCACGGTTTGGATTGAGAGACAAAGGCTGGGAGAGACAGGTGCTTTGCTGGAGTGACCTTTTGGATCCCATTTTAATGTAACTGGTTTACAGCTTATCTGAAAGGCCAGCTCCGGGGGAAGGCGAGCAGCAGCCAAATGGGGAAGGTAATTAGGGGGGGAAGGGATGGGGAGGTTTGGGGGGCTGCGGAGCAGGCGACAGCAGCATCCTCTGCGCCGCTTCCAGGCAGCTCTGCAGCATGTCCTGAAGTTCCACTTATCAACCAGAGCAACCCAATTTAATTTGCTTATCTCCTCTCCTTCCTCCCTCCCCGCTTCTGCTGCTCTGTTTAATTATCATCGGTTAAAGAAATGTCTTTTTCAATAGGGGAAGCAGCATCAAAGCGGGCGCATCTCTGCGCGTGTCCCCCCCCGGACCCGGGGCACTTACACTTGCGCGGCTCCAGCGCCTTGTTGGGGCAGGCGAGGTGCTGGGCTGGGGGGTTCTGGGTCCTCTGCAGACACGCCAGCATGGTCCTGGCCTCCGGGCGGGCAGCGCCGGCCCCGCTGCCAGCCTGTGCCCTGCGGAGAGGAGAGAGAATCCGGTCAGGAGCTGCCCATCACCATCCTGCCCATCCGGCCTCTCCCTGGGCAATGGAGCTGCAGCAGGAGCCCCCGGCGCCGCACGCTGCTCAGAGCCCTTCCCTCCTTCACGGATAACAACTCCGGGAGCCTTAAAGAAATATGAATGTATATAAAATAAACATGAAGGGCTCAGCGGGCGAGTCGTGCTCCCTGCAAAGCTTCCCACCCTTCCCAGCGGGAACGGGGCAGAGCCGGGATGCCCCTCGGGCACCAGTGCCAGACTGCTCTGCCAGCGTGCCAGTCGGTGCCTCCCGGCAATAGAGGATCCCGCCGGCTCCGGGCAAGGCTGGGGAAAGGCAGTGTTAAAATCCCATCGGGGTCCTGGGATCTGCCGCCAGCTCCCAGCTGGCATCAAAAACCTGCTCGACAAAAGCCGGAGGGGTCAAGCCAAAGTCACCGCCGCCACCGCTCTGCTCATTGAACGTCCTTCGGCAGCCGCCACCGAGGGCATGAATTATAACCAGTTGCTGCTGACACCCTCCCACTGCTCCGGCTGGCGCGGGGAGGGAGATTCCCACTTGGAGAGGGCAGGGAGACGTGGGCAGGAGCAGCAGAAAAGCAGGCAGCGGTGCCGGTCCCCCGGCATCGCAGCTTCGGAGCCGTTGCTCTCCCAGCTGAACTTTTACTGATGGCTCAGTGTCATAGGTGGAGGTCACAGATGGGGGTCACGGCCGGGTCCGTCACTTCACGTGCTCCATCATGGGGGAATCATCCTCCGGCAGCCAGCTGGGATGCTTCCCGCATGCCTCAGTGCTGGCAAACAGCACCGGGACCGGCGTGCAGGGGAGCAGGCGGTGGCCTTGGGTTCACACCAGCAGAGATCTGGTCCCAGAGCTGTGCCCGGGGCTCTCCTTGCTCCACCGGTCTCAACGTCCCCCTTCAAAACACGCCTTTGCAGCCAGCGAGGACACGCAGGTGATGGTACCCGCTTGCTCCCGCTCCGTGCCCCACTGCACCAGGCAAGGGGGGTCCCATGCTGGCAATGGGACCCATGCGGGATATCAGCGCCGAGGCCAGGCTCTGCCCAAGGGTGCTATGGGGGTCTCCCCCTATCCCCTCCATGCTGCAAACCAGGGGGCAAGGGAAGAGACTCATTATCGAAAGGTGTGAGGAGCAGGCGGGGAGGAGGAAGTCATCTGATACGAAGCAGGTGTCTGGAGAACCCAAATTGTGCTGTTTTCTCCTAATAATGAAGTATTCATGAGTAAAAGCCTTTTTCACTACTTTCTTAAGATACTAATTTCACAACAAGCGCCTTGTTACCATGCAATTATTCCAATCGTGCATTTCTCCCAGATTCCATCTGTCCTCGCGCTCTCTAAATGAAAGACAATCATGTAACCACCTTTCATTATTCACTATTTTACTTTCAGCAAAGGTACCCTGAAAGAAATGATTTCCTCTGAAAGGGACTTTTATTCAGTTTCAAAACCAATTTTCTCCTATTACTGTCTTAAAAAAAAAGCAGGAGGGGGGCAGGGAGGTGTTTTTATTTCATGCATTACATCTCCTTTGTTAACGCAGCTCGCAGTAAAAGCAGCCCTATCCATTTTCTGGCTTCGATTTCTGGTAATTTTAAAATATGCCATTACAATCAGGCAGAAATTATACAGTTTGAAAAGAGAATGAAGTGCTTCTTATTCAGAGGCTGAGCGAGCGCACTTGACTGCCGGGGAGCTCGCCTCTCCCCGCCGGGACTCGGGGTTCATTACACAGCTCCTGCGTGCGCGCTGGCACCGCAGCGCTTCTGCGTCCGCTCCAACCGCATCCCCACGGGATGGACCCTATGGGATGGCATCAGCTCTGGCCATACCTGAGCCCCAGCTCTGCAGTGAGCTCAGGGCTGGCGTCCTGCCCCGTGTCACCATCTGGCCGATTAGCGGGCGGACGTCACCGCCTCCCCTGCAGCCAGGCCGGCTCCGCGCCGGGACACTGCCCCGTGCCCCTGGTAAACAGGGGCTGGGGATGATGCCAGACGTGCATCGGGTCCCTGGTGATTCCCAGGGGAATCAGGGCTGAGAGCAAGGAGAAAGCCCCCAGGGATGGGGTGGCGTGGGGTGAGCGGACAGGGCAACAGCCACCGATCGGGGTGCTGACCAGAGGGTGAGGATGCAGCCCCAGGACAGGGCTGAACCCTGGGGAAAGTGGGATGCTGATGGCCGGCCACAGGAGCTGTTGGCAACCTTAGTCCTGCGGACCCTGCCCTTGGCAGGGGGCTGGAACTGGATGAGCTTTAAGATCCCTTAAACCATTCCATGATTCCATGATAAATAAAGCCACCAATTAACTCAGAGTCCAGGTTTGTCCCCATTTCCCACTGTCACGCAGTGGGGAGAAGTATGCCAACAGCTATGCTGCGTTCCACCCCTCCCCGAGAGGCACACATCATAACCACCATGACCCCACACATGCCACAACCCCAGCCCTCTGTCCCAGCCCCTAAAGCACGCGTAGGCGAGAGGGTGGGCGCCGGCACAATGGGCATCTGTGCCACGCTGGCATTTCACTAATGCCGCTCAGCAAAGCCCTTGAATCAGCTGATGGGAATTGGGCACTGGGCTGGCCCGACGCTTAGCGCCGGCTTAGTTAGCTCCATCTGCATTTGAACTAATTCCAATCAGCAGGATCCGATTTAGTTCAAGCTGCTCTGGCTCTTCTGTGGCAGGAAAGACAACACTCAGCAGTTTTGCCCAACCACCCCAAGCCTCAGCCCAGCCAGCGGCACATGGCGAGAGGGGTCCCTTGGGGACATCCAGAGCAGGGTTCCCCAGGAGTCCCGCATCCCACAGCATCGCTCCCCAACGCTGGCATCGCTCCCTCCATCCCCTCTCTGCCTGCTCCTTCCCCCCCCAACCCGTGCAGGGTAATTTCTGAGTCCAATCTCTCCATCGCTCTATTTATAAGCCCAAGGACTTTGTGACTTTAATAAAAACACAAACCCAACACCCTCCATGCCTAAAGCCCCCGCGCCCGGGAGGGTTTGGCACCTCCTCTGACATCAGCGCCTGATAAGTCGAGCTTATCTCCTACGAGAGCCCTGCGAAGGTCCCTCCGGCGAGATAAGGCCCCGCAGCTGTCGATGGAGGCTTTCGCAGGCGAGGATTTAGATAAAGGAAAATGTGACGGGAGGGGGGGAACAACAAAAAAGAGGAATCTTTAAAGTCTCAGCCTGAACCGGGTCCGTGCTGCAGACCCGGCAGAGCCGCCCTTGGTCACCATCCAGGCTCTGGTGCAACGCATGCACACCCTTGCACAAGCTTTATCGGGGGTTCTGGGGTGTAACCACCTAAAAAGGGAGGGCTCGGGGTTGGGAGAGGAAGGGGAGAAGGAGCGGGGATGCTGCAGAGTCACAGCGCGGTGTCTCCCACTCCTGCTATTAAAAGCAGCGCTGGGTTCGGCGCAAGGACAGGAGGTGACAGGGTCACCCCGCTAGGAGAGCAGCAGGAGGCTTCTGACAGCACCAGACAGACAGACAGACAGCGTGGGAGCGGGGCCAAGGCTGGCAGCGCTCTCACAAGCTGGCAGCACTGATAAATTAAGCAAAGGCTCTTGCTGGTCCCTGGTGCCCTGAGTACAACACAGCCACCTCAGCCCTCAGCCCTCACTGCTGGGATGGAGAAACCCACCAGGGAGCTCCCCTTCCCCATGCACATCGGGGCTACCCCATAGCAGCCCCATCATAGCCACTGCCAGCATCCCCGGTCCTCACAGACACTGGTTTCCCATCAGACAGCGAGGGTGAGGAGGTGCTGGAGGAGGAAGGCTTCCCCTCAGCACACAGAGGAGGCCCATCCTATCCCAAGGCAACCGGGACTCCGGTTGGCACCGCCGCCTGGCACCACCACGGTTGTGCCAGCTCCTGTCCATCTCCCATCCAGCACCAGATTTATGGTGCCACGGCAATGGAGGGGACACAGCACCGGGTGAGCGACGCCGCATCTTAGCCCTGCAAGGGGCGAGGATGGGAAAGGTCACCCCGCCATAAATCACAGCGAGCAGAGGATGAAACAGAGCAGCGAGTTCGGCACCGACCTCCCTCCCGCTCCATCCCACCCTGCTAATCCGCTCCCCTCCGCGCGCTCCAGCCCCGGGCCTTTCAGGGGGCCCTGTTAATAATTAAATGTTAATCTAAAAAGCAATTTTAGCTGCAGTGCTGCAGATCTGGTTAGAGATTACATTAGCATGTAAGAGTCAAGGGTAATTTTCTCTAACCCCTCTTGTGATCTTTAAAACCCGCGGATCTTAAAGCAACACCAGCTCCTCTGATTAAAATTGGAAGCTGGGGTTTGCAACGGATAATGATGCTGGAAGTGATTATTTTGCTGCTCGGGATCTCACCGGGGTGCAGGAGAGTGAGGCACTGGGAAAGTGACCTGTGTCCTATGGGGAAGGTGACTGGGGTGAGCCCAGACCTGACTGGCACCCCACAGAGCTGTGCCCTCAGCTTATGGGTCTGACCCCACTCAGCTCTATGCCCAGGGGGTCCCTCCCCTCCCAATTCCTCTATCATGCCCCGTCCTGCAAGATAGAGCCTGCGGGGAGAACGTCACGGATGGGGTGCACATCCCAGCGCAGATGCAGGTGCACATCCCAGTGGAGATGCTCCTGCAGCAGCTCCAAGGAGAAACCCCTTCAAGAAAACCAACATCAAAGAATACCCCAAAACATCCCTTAGCTCGCAAGAGGGGCAGGGACGGGGACACGGCAGAGGACACAGGCAAATCGCTTCCCAACCAGTACAAGTGACCTGATGGAAGAAAGAAGGCAGGAGCCGTGTCCCTAATGATGGCATTAAAAACCCCAGCAATCCGAGTGCTGTTGAGCACTTGCAGACATCCTCGCGCAGGGCTCGGGCAGCCTGGTTAAATTTATGTGTCAGCTTGAAGGAGGCCTCTCATCAAATGAGCTATTTTGAGCAGAGATTAAAGATCTATTTT